TTCAGACTGTTCTTCTAAATTGCATTGCTTGTTCCACTATAAATCAAATTTAATATATCAGTTTCCAGTAGCTGTGAGGTTTGATATTCATAGCTGGTGGGTTTCACAGATTATGGAGGTCTGATAATGGTAAAGTGGGATGCTGTTAGAATAATCTCTGACAGTGTGAAAGCGCCTCTGTTTATACCGTGTTGATCCTTCCCAAAAGTCTCTGTGACCATGTGATTTTTCTTTGTGATGTGATTTTGCATGAAATAGCAAGCTCAGCATATGAGGCAATCATGCTTTGTGTTATTTTCTTGAATTAGATTTGCATGATCTGTATCATGTTCTTTTGAGTCTTGAGGTTTAAATATTTTTTTTATTTTTTATTTTTTTATTTTTTTACCTTTATTTATATAGTGCTTTTAACAATACAGATTGTGTCAAAGCAGCTTAACAGTATCAAAATAGGAAAATAGTGTGTCAGTGCAAAAGGACAATAGTAAACACTCAATTTTCAGTTAAAGGCAGTTCATCATTGAATTCAGTGATGTCTTCATTCAGCTCAGTTCAGTTTAAATAGTATCTTTGCAATCATTTGCAATCAAGTCAACAATATCGCTGGAAATGAAGTGTCCCCAACTAAGCAAGCCAGAGGCGACAGCGGCAAGGAACCAAAACTCGATCGGTGACAGAATGGAGTAAAAACCTTGGGAGAAACCAGGCTCAGTCGGGGGGCCAGTTCTCCTCTGGCCAGACCAAACCAGCAGTTCAATTTCAGGCTGCAGCAAAGTCACATTGTGCAGAAGACTCATCTGGTTCCTGTGGTCTTGTCCCGGTGGTCGTCTGAGTCAAGGTCTTTACAGGGGAATAACATCTGTATCTGGGGCTCATCTAGTTGTCCTGGTCTCTGCTGACTTTCAGGGCTGTAGAGGTCCTCTCTAGGTGCTGATCCACCATCTGGTCTGAATACGTACTGGATCCGGGTGACTGCAGTGACCATCTGATCTGGATACAGACTGGATCTGGTGGGTTGTTTCAGGGTTGGTGCTTTTAATTCAATGCAGTGAGAAATAAACAGGCCGTGCGTGTCTCAGGAGGGATAACGTTCTCATATCATTTGATAGTCTGGATCACAGGGGTGTAGAGGGAGATAAATGACCTCTTGGGTTTCCTTCCCGCGCTGCTCTTCCTGCAGCTGTTGACCACACATTTTCTGTCTGGAAAAGAGTCGTGATCCTCTGAACTGCAGCACGGTTGCTGGATTTTACTCCGTATATATTCATTTTCTGTATATAGTATATACAGTATATCCACTGTAAGAAATAAATAACAGAAAAAGTATTGGCAGCTCATTACCGGGACATATTCTTACTCTATTTACTCTAAAACACAACGCAATGCAGTATGAAATTCAAATTAGCGGTAAAACACCTGATACATACAGAAAATTCCTTCAAATTAATACATTGTGTGCTATTTTTACAGATTAGTGTATATTTACAGTATATTTGTCTATTTGTTAAGGACATTCTTGGATAAATGCTGACTTTGATATCTATTTAAAGAATTAGGAACACGGATGTGAAATTTTAAATACTTTTTTTTTTCATTCTGGGAAGTTATTTATGGCAGCCACAGAATAAAAAATAAATAATCACAATTCTGCTTTTTTTTTTTTTCAATTAATATCTCAAAATTCGTCCTTTTTTCAATTCTGAGTTTATATCTCACAATTCTGCCTTTTTTCTCGCAATTCTGAAAAAAAAAGAAAGATTTGATTAAACTCAGAATTGTGAGATATAAACTGTGAGATGAAAAGAAAAGTGTGAGATGAAAAATATTATTATCTTTTTTTTGTTTGTTTTTTAAGTTTTTCAAATGTTTTCTTGATTCTGGAAACAACAACAACACAAAGTTGAGATATGTAAACTCAGAATTCAAAGAAAAAAAAAGCAGAACTGTGAGACGTAAACTCAGAAAAATCAGAATTCTGATTTTATATCACGCAGTTGTGACCTTTTTCTCAGAATTGCAAGAAACAAAGTCTGAATTTTGAGAGAAAATGTCACAATAATTTAATATTATTAATAATTGTATTTATTTATTTTCATTCTGTGTCGGAAGCGGGCTTCCATAGTTATTTGTCATTTAAAGATGCATCTTTAGATTTCTGTTTCTCTTTATTATATTTTTATTCTATGTGATTTCTTAATAAAATGCGATCATATCTGATTCATTTAAATGTGTAAATGTTGCTATTTTTTACAACTTATACAAGGTATAAGTGCAAGACACATATGGACGTAAATGCACAAACAACAGCAACATTGCCCACTGATATCACTGAATCCTGTAAATCATTCACTTTCATGCCTTTGCAGATTTTTTTTCCTGTTTTCGGATAGGTGCAGCGATTATAAAAACAAGTTGTTTATGCAGTTTGAATATAGAGTAATAAAATAAATAAATTAAATCAAAAGGGCTGCAAAAACGTGTCAGAGCAACTTGTGTGAAGAAAACATTTCTTGTGTTGAATTTAGGGCTGCCTGAGTTGACCCTTGATCAGTGAAATCTCACTCCTGCAGTTCATATTGGATGCAGGGTTGTCAAGTCCACATTTTCCCATGGAATTAGACTAATTTTAAACTGCTGCCATAGGTAGATTTTTCCCCGTGGGTTAAAGGTGTTTGCATTAATTACATTTGACTGAAATACTTAAAACTGCGCGTGTGGGTAGGAAGCCTTTAGCTGTGTTTTTGATCAGTGTGCATAATAGTGACTGTAAAATGTGTAATTTAGGTATGGAAATTACATATTTTGAGTTTTGATGTTTGGGATATATGGTCATTGTGCTACGTTGGGCTGTTATTGACTGGCATGGGCTAGGTTTGTCACGCAGACCTGGCAACCCTCCCAGATAGCACACGTACGTCTGCAAGATGTCTGTTAAAGATCGCTGGAAATCATCTGCTGTGTACAAACATCTGATAGACGTCTTTAAGATGTCAGTTTTACATTCATTCTAAATCATAAACATCTTAAAGACATCTTCTAAACGTCTATTTGACATCTGATAGGAAACGTCCTATAGACGTATTGCAGATGAGCAAACACTAAAAAATACGTCTAAATGCAGACGTCAAATAGACGTCTCTGTGATGTATGTCTGCTATCAGGGTTCAGTTCAAGCGGCAGCGCGGAGCACAAGTCTTTTCCACTTTAATAAAAGCTATTGCATGAAAAAAAAACATCAGAAGGTGTTTAAAGATACAGTACGACTTACTGAAATGCATCATGTCTCATGTAATCTCTCATTCAGAGTTTCAACCAAAAGGAAGACGTCAGATAAAACAGCTTTTGAACAATATGTCCTTAACGATGCATTTAAGTAAGTATATATTTTCACTTAACGAGCAGGAAAGTTATCCCGCGCAGTTGGTTAGTTAGCTATAAAAAAACTAAAGGGAGTTAATTATTTGAGTGTGATTATTATATCTGAAAATAAAAAAAAATTATTTTAATCTCTAATATTATGTACCAAATGATTGAGTCCTTAGAGTCACATTTGTGGATGGAGGGCTCTCAGTTTTAGTAACTGAAATCTTAATGGTGCAAATCAGCTTGTCCAAAGAGTGATTGCCTACCATATCAGACTAATCACACCTACACTAAACCCAGAGCTTCAGACTCATGCTTAGTTCATGAGGTTCGTTAGTTCAAGTGTTTCATTAAAGTGGGATACGCAGCACTGTTCTTAGGAAGCATGCATGATGAAAAGTCACATTAGATTTGTGATTCTTGCTGTAGTTATTCAATGTAGTTACATTCAATGAAAACACATTAATAAGCATTTCATAATGATTTCAATATACCTCTTCCATGTTTTTAATTTATTAATTAAAACTTTTGTATGTATATTGTGGGGCTTATCAAGTGATTTCAGTTTCAATAATATTAAGGATGGATAACTTACCCTGTATGTTCTGCCTTATGCAAATACATTATCCCTTAAATATCATGCATACATTTTCATTCATATTGCATTTTCTTTCCAACTTAAATGAGAATGACAATTTGTAATAATGACTCCCCAAATAATGACTCTTCCTGAAGGCTGCATGAGTGCAATCACATACATCTGCTTAATTAAAGCAGAGCTTTATTCAGCTGTGTCTACTTAAAGATATATTTACATAAATACTGTGGTATACATTAGTTCCAAGGTATAAATATCTTTTTAATTGCCCAAAATACCCCAATTAGTAGCAAATACAGTACAACAATATAAAATAATAATAAAAACAGCTATGATTTGCACATTATTGTGTTTTATTGTAAAATGCACCAAAGCAACCACTATATCAAAGATTCTTACAATCTTTTGAATCTTAATAATAAAAATAAAAACCCATACAACGACTTTTTTTGCTTTCATAACCTGAATTATAGGGTCATTTTAACTGCGTTATAATAGGCTTCATCACGCAGTGAATGCTTTTGGACTCTCAAGACGTGTTTTTGTTAGTTTTTTTGCGAAGTGAGTCACATACTCAATACTATCATTAAAACAACAATTATGATATTATCGGAGAGGATAAATATCACACACTCCTAGTCCTAGTTACTTATGCATTATTCTAAGCCATTTTGTAGTAATAAATAGCATGTGTTCACACTGAAAATTTCAAAAAAGAAAAGGTGCACTTCAAATACCAGGATGATGCACTTAATTAACTGAAAAAAAATGAAGCATGGAATTTGTGGAAACGTCATGCACTGCACTGTCACAGCTTTAATTGCGTAGCAAAGGGGAGGGTCTGTCAGATTCCAAAACTGGATGACAAAACAACCTTCATAAAATTCATATGGTAGATCACATAGTGCATAGTATAAATGTATAGTGTGACATTTGGGACACAACTATAGTCACAACTAAGGGGCTATATTCATGACATAGCCTAGCCTCATAGACTCTTTTGGTATTTTTACAAACGAGTTGTAAATTCTTTCTCATGTTATGGCTCCAGCACACTGAAGGACATCAGGATGGTCGTCCTATTGGAGGTCTCGCTCAGGCTGGCAGCAAGGTCGAGCTTTGGTCCTCTGCCTGTAAACGCCTTCCCTTCCCAAACCCCGCTCTTACTGAGCTGGAGATCCACTTTCTGATCTCCTTGCACACTCACTCCTCGGGCCCCTGGGACACGTACACGAAATTTCACCCAGGACGAGGCCTCTAGCTGCCCCGCATGAGGTTCAAACAGCACACTGCCCTTCTTCCAGGTGTTGTACATGCATGGAAATGGAGGCCACTTATTCACTGAGGCGTTCTTCAGGATGTAATCACACAGGTAGGGGAATTCTTGTTTGAAGGATGCTTTTCCATAGAGACCAAGCTTGTAGACTCCAGACTCAGGTAGGTTGATGCTTATGGTTTGACTTGCTGGTTGATCGCACTGTTCTTTAGTTAAAACGCAGTGGAGATCTATATCTTGAGGGTTTTGGAAGGTGATGTTGCACTTTCCTTGCTGTGTATAAACCAGAGCTTCTGTATGGCTGAACTCGAAGAGGCCGGCCTCCAGAGACTTGATACCAGGACCGCAGGAACTGCTAAGGCCACTGGGAAAAAGCTCATTCAGGCTGACGGCACCAGCTGTGTAGTTAAGAAGAACGTTGCCTGCATTCTCGAAGCTGTCTGCTTCATTCGCCCAGTCCCTTACGAACACAGACAAACGGTAGTAACCGTAGTAAGGACAGAGGACGTTACATGTCAGTTGGTCTGGCTCAGTCTGAATGGCCAAGCACTTCTCGGCTAAAGTCTTATCCAGGTTCTTATGGCTCAGTTCACACAACATCATAAGTGGTCTAGTAGTCTTTAAGACTAACCTAAAGGATCCAGACTCTAGCAAAATGAAGTCATTCCCATAATTGCAAGGCTCGAGTCCTAAACTCGTCGCATCTGGTTGCAGGCCCCAGCACACATGGGGATTCTCGGGCAGCTCTTCTGAGGTCCTGGGTGATGGACATTCCAGCTGGAAGGAACAGATCCAGTCAAATGTTTTGGATGTGCTTCCAGGTCGAGCAAAAAGGCTGAGCTCATACGTGCCAGACTTTGGGGGCATGAGGCGAAGTGTCATGCTGTGCTGCATGCTGGTAAGAAAGCCAATGGAGTTGCTCAGCTGTTGTAGTTCATTGCCGTTGGGCTGGGAAATCTTATAGGTGAAATCGACGAGCTGAGGGAAACTCATCAATACCGCCGCCTCGCCGTTCTCTGGGACACACAGATGGTAAAGGTGTTAATTACTCACAGCAGCACATCAACTGATGGATCAATGACATGAAACTCATCTAGTAGTTCATTCAAGAATACATTAAAGATGTAATTGATACCCTTTTTTATATAATGACCATGTTTTTATTTCTGAATTAAAATTTATTTGGGTGTATATAGTATAGAATATTAGAGTCAACCGACCTAAGATCATAATAAAGAAAAAAAAAAAGGAATGGAACGAATGAAAAGTACAGTTTACGGGAAAACAAGGGGCAAATGATGGAAATCCCAATGATTGGAAATCCCATGTTTTGCTTTCCAGGATCAGGTAATCCATCTTATTTTTCTGCTGGTTTTTCAAAGCAAAAGTGGATTGGATCGCAATGATCCAGATACACACTTTTTCAGATGACCAAATCTGGATTACTAAGTGCTCTACGGAGCCCCTAAAGGGACACGGTGATGGGGGGAAAATGCTTTTGCATTCACCTTTGACTGGTTCTTCTCTGATGATTGTGCAAATGTAGTTTACAAATAGTGATTTTAAAAACTTTAAATTTAAATTAAATAGATTTTTGTTTGATATTGAAAGCTGTTTGGGGAATATTTTGGCAATAAATAAATCTCTTTTTTTACTGTAGGGCTACTGAAAGGCTTAAGAGGTAGCCTAATGTCTATTTTCAAGATTTGATCCAAATCCGATTGCTGAAATCCGATGATATTATTTTTGAACAACTGGCCCCTCATGACTGTGTCAAGGTCAGTATCAAATAATCTGACATTTTATGACAAGACAAGGTTAATTCAGATAGTAAAATGTTTGTGGTGTGGACCATAACTTTGTTATTTATGAATGATAATTTTTTATTTACTTTTAAAAATATGTATTTATTTATATTTATGTATAAAAAATTAACATTAGGCATTTCTTGAAAATTATTTGAAATAAACATGATTGCAAAGAGCAGATTTCTAAGAGAATAGCATGTGTGTTTTAAACTTGAGTTACCTGTAACTATAAGGATGTGCTTTGGGTCAATGAGGGTTAAGTTTAGTCTGTAGAAGTCAGAACTTTTCAGCACCCTCTTCTCAAACTCTTCAAGCCCAATGGGGCTTTCCAACAGCTGCCACTCCTCCTCATTAGGATAGTGAGAGCTGATGAAGTTCTCAGGGTCGGTCAGGAAGTAGAACTCTTTATATCTGAAGTTTTAGTCATTTTCAATATGTAATAATGGTCAGTGTATTTGGTGTTGTATATAATGTACATCTGAAATATATTGCATGCTCATTTAGGTCTTCTTGAAGTGATTTGTTCTGTAGACCAGTCTCACCTCTTTATAAAGGTTCTGTTGTCTAGGTCCACATATCCAGCGCCCCAGCAGGCATCCAACAGGTACCAGTGTTCGTCCAAACACACTGCATTCCACCTGTGGTTGGATTCAGTGTTACGGTAACTCTGACCCGGTCGGTAACCAGCGCATTTACCATAGCCCGACACCTCTCTGCACTTAATACCAGCTTCCCTGAACAGACAGTGTGTTTAGACAACCACATCAGTAAAATTCAGTGTGACTGCATGGAAAAAGAGTTAAGTGTGTGTATTAGACAGAAACCACGGCATTGGGCACCTACGTCACAATTTTATTGAACAAAAACATCTTCAAATTTGTTTACTCAGCCCAATATCAACCATAAATGTTGTTCACACTTAATATACACTGATTATTTCTTCTTTTAATCCTGCCCAATTTATCATTTTCTACTGTTTCTGTTTCCCCACATCTACCTCTATTATGTTAACCAATTATGCATTTAGTCCTATGTGTCGAATTGCAACCTAAATCCTCATTTCTATATCATCCTAAATTATATGTCTCTTTGATTGATGTATTAGGCTAATCCTATAGGATAGTTCAATTTCCCTCTATTGATTTCTCCTGCCTCTCTTTTTGAATATTTGATTTAATTATTGATTTAATTTCTCCTCTTTCAAACGGAACTTCAATCTCAGTATCATTTTTCCTCACTGCTCTTTTTACCAACTAATCTGCCATTTTCATTTTCATTTTCATTTCCAAATAATTCTGCAACTAATTCTACAGTACATATTGCTAAACTGTTTGATAATCTCTGGAATGTGTCTGCATTTATGGAGCCCTAATGCAGTAGATTTCCGGGGGGGGGGAACCCAGCATAGACTTTTGTGAGCGCAGAACCTTTTTCTGCATAGACGGAGAAAGCTATATAATACCTTTCAGCACCCCAACAATTGTTTGTCATTCGCAGGTGGCAATCCAATAATGCTGGCACTTTTCTCGTTTTAATTTATTAAATGTAAACAGTGCTAGGTAGTAACTGATTACATATAATCTGGATTACGTAATCTAAATCAGACTCTGTTGAATAAATTGCTTGGATTACCTGCACATCTGTAAACAGACGCCGGAGTAACCGGAGCACACAGCTCGTCCAGACAAAATGAACTGTTCAGGAGGACAAACCTTCTCTGAGAGGCCCAGATAGCCCTTCACATCATACTCTAAAAGTAAAACACAGTATCTGTTACCAGTAACTTGTCACTATAGCAGATGTTTGCCTAGTTTATTCAGTTTTCCATTAACTTTTCAAGCTTTACCACTAACCATTCAGACCACCTGGAGTTTCGGGCGGGAGTTTCTGAAATTTAGCAGAAATTTTCTGCCCCTTTGCAACCCTACTTAAAGTATTTCTGATGTTGAGTCCAAAAAGTTAGGACCAATTTGATTAATTAAATTCTGCAATGGTGTTGCAGTAACACGGCTCAAGTTACACCAAGCTTTTATTGGTCAGAGGAAAAGGACATAATTAAATCAGTGAAACTCAAAAAAGAAACAAACCCTTGATTGCTGATGTGGAAGATACTTTTTGTGCTTGAGTATGTGTGTGTGAGAGAGAGAGACTGAAACTGACCAATGTAGTGGCAAAGCCAGATCCAGATGGCACGCAGTTTGTCTAAATCACTGCTTGCCCCCTCTGTGATTATCTGGGTGATTGCTCGCACCGAAAAGATCTGCCTGATTCTGAGCTGCAAATTACAAATCCAAATAAACATGTATCAAACTACTCGCTCATCCAAAAACAAAGACATACACGTAAGATATCTGATCTCTCTCACCTCTCTTCCAGCACTGATTGCATGTGTGTCAATCTTGCGGAAGACCTCAGGATTCGGTATTGGGTCCTTTTTAAGTTTTCTTCTGGGTACATTTAATGTTATTTTTCCTGAGGCAGTGGTTGATGTTTACCTTAACTCTTCCTCTTGGGTCATTGTGTTCTTCTTCATCAATCTATAAGTACCATTTTCTTTGCTTTCTTGGCATTTAGCCAGTGACCTCTGTTCATCTCTATCCATCATGTCCCACTTTTCAAACATAGAGCTCTTGATTGGCTCTTCTGCATTGACTGATTGAGGTCTTGCTGTCATTTTACCTGTTTTCCCATCAGTGATTGATGACCCACCGGTCTTTAAAGTCCACTTTTTATGCAGGACTACACCCACAGCGTCTTCCTTTGGGATATCTTTAGCCCGTCCTTGTTTGAATTGAGTAGTCTTTGCAGTTTCCTTGCAGTCTTGTTGGCTTTGTTGTTCATGTCTCGGGTTTGGCCGTGAGGTTAGAGTGTAAACAGGGGGCTCCCCTGATGCCTTGGAGCTGCTGTCGTTCATTTTGTAGCTGTGGAGGTCACTGGTCTTAGGTTAGAGGCGATTTAAAGCCTTTCAACTCTAAAAACGTGTAGAATGCCAGTAATCTCTTCCCTTCTCGTCCTTCACTGTTTAAGCTCTAGACATGAATGATGATATCACAAACTGTGGGGCTTGTTGACCAGAGGAGTGCTTTTACTTTTCGATGCAATTACCTGGTGGATGATAAATTGGGGCATAAAATAAACAAATACATTTGCATTGAGAGAGATACCTGAACCATATGGAGAGACCAGAATACCATAGAGCGCTTTTTCAACTTTGGCCAGTAAATAACCATCTAGCAACCACCAAAAATATCTAGTAACTGCATAGCATTACACTAAAACTAACTCTGAAAACATTAGCCACCACATGGCAATGCAATGGAAACCACCAAAAGAATGCTCTTATAGCAGTGGATCTCAACCTTTTAGACTTAAAGGCCCCTGGTTGTCCAACAAAATATTCAAAGTAGTATGAATTTAGTTTCATGCCTGCAAACGCGGCATTCGATGTGTAAATCCAATGACTTTTTATATTAAGGGGGGTTATATGATTATATATCTGAAGGGAACTTACTGATTCAGAAAAGTTTAGATGGCAATTTCTTCAGGGTTCCCGCGGGTCCTTAAAAAGTCTTAAATTTAGTTGTATCAAATTTAGGGCAATAAAAAGTCTTAAATTGTACAAGAAAGTCTTAATTATAATTTCAGGAGTTCTTACATTTGGGGACGGAAAGACCAGAGTTGCGATATGGCTTAATGTGACGATTAAACTTCAAAAGGCGATGATTTTATTGAATAAACATGAGCGCTGAGCGTTTCAGAGTCCGGTGCTGTGCTGCTTTTTTTTACTGTCGTTACCAGGGTAACAGTTATATTTCTGCTGTTCCGAAAGCGCCTCCTGCTGGCAGAGAATGAATGTGCATTTTTTCAAGAAGCCTGTTTTTTTGGAGTACCCTATAGTTTTTTTAATTATTATTTTTTTATTATTATTATTATTATTATTATTTTTGTATGTATGTATTAACTTAACAAAGTGCAGTAAACGGTAAAACAATTGCGGTACAAATTAATGTGTTTAAAACATTAATAAATCTAAAATAAGTTGAATACAAATACTAGTTTACAACATCCAGCAGCACAGTAAACTTTTTTGAACAGCTAAATAGGCTAAATGGAGATTGCTGACATCGCCTCACACTCTCAAGTTCATGCCAGCTCTTACATTAAAAATAAGATGGAAATATAAAAAATGTATAGTTCCCATTGATTTTGTCTTTGCATCTGTTTGTTTGATGTTCGAATCAGGTCTCCTATGTTGGAATAGAATTGGCTAGATGGTGCTGTCACAAAAAAACTGTTGGCGCTGATGGCGCTGTTTTTGTTCAGACCAACGTGAAAATCGACCCATGTTTTTACCCTGCAAACACGCAGAGCTGTAAATGTGAACTGGTGGATCGATAAGAAGATAATGCATTATAAAATGTATTTATATGTTATTTAATTAATATAATAATTTATTGATAATAATTGTTTAAATTAATATAATAATTAATACTTTTAATATAGTGGCTGCAGCTAAATGAAAACAAATCACATGGTTCACAAACTCACTCAAACACAGGAAAAATAAACTTTAACATCTTACAAATAAAGATAAAAGTCAGAAGTATCAACACTGTAAAACACGAGTGTAATTTTAACTGTAAAATATTGTAAAAATGCTACGGACAAAAACTGTTAACAGTTAATAGGTTAGTAAGTTCCTGTAATATATACAGTGAAAACTGTAAAAGATCTAACCAGACATTTCATGTAATTTTACAGTAAAATGCTGTTAATTTTATAGTTTTTAGAAGTAAAAAATAACTAATCAACGTATAAGATACAGTTAAAAACGGTAAACTGATATTCCCAAAATTCCCTGCGTGACACTCCACATTTGAAAGTATTTTGTTTAAATAATCATGTTTCTTAATAGGTTTTGTTATCAGTTATGTACATTAGGGTTTTATGTTACCTCTTTTGTTGTTTAATGAATGTTTATTGCATTATTAAGTGTCATGTGTGTTACCATGATGGTGTTTTGTGTTTGCTAGAATGACTCACGCACATTCTGTATATTAGTTAGGGGTTGCACTGACTAATCGACTAGTCGACTACAATGCTCTGCCATGACGCTTTAAGCTTGACGTCGACTAGTCGCTGGTCCTATAGAGGGCGCAACAGGATAAGAAATCTTTGAAGGACTTCTACATTTACGATCCGTTTCCAAACAGTTAAAACGACAAATAAATGCATACTCCGAAAGCGCTCCACAACACATGTGTGATTATATTACTGGATGCTCGAAATTGAACGGGAGAATGCACGTTTTAAACAGCTTATTGTACAGGTAAGTTAATCACCGTTCTAATCTAATGCGCTGATGCACTGTTACTCTCAAACTTAGGCTATAGACAGTAGCTCGTACATCACGCACAGAATCATTCAGTGCAGAAATGTATTTTCTACACTGTTCTGTGATTTCTCAATAAAATAGCTTAGAAACTGAAAAGTTCAAGCATACTGTATATTTCTTAATAACTAAATCCCACAGCTTCACTACTAGCAGAGAGACGCTGCCAGGTAGAATTAATTCACACACGCAATCGCTCTCACTAATGCATTCATATGAATGTAATCTTTACTGAGCTACTTTATGTGTATCTGATTTAGAACGAGAAGAAATCTGTGAGAAATATAAAGACCTAAAGACAAAAGAACTGATAAAAAATTAGCTGTTATAGGAGCAATAGCCATATGGGCAGCGCTGTGTCATATGCCATAGCTGTGCACAAGGTGTTTATCACAGCTCCAGACTTATTTGTTCATTAATGACGTCATCAGCGACTAGTCGACTTCGACTCGACTTTCATCACATAAAAGTCGATTTTTAAAAATCAGAAGTCGTTCAACCTCTAATATTAGTATACTTCAGCTTGTGGAAAAGCTACTTGTGATGAACTTTGATTCTTCATGTGGCGTTCTCTTGCACCAACCTGCATTATTATGGTGGTTGTCAGTATGTTAAAGGGATAAAACAGATTTTAGTAGCAGTGTGTGTTGTTGAATTTACTGGTTTACATTCAGATTTTCTTGTTTGTAAATTACAGTTTTATACTGTAAAATGTACAGTTTGTTAGGTAAATAAAACCCCAAAATACTCAAATAAAGCTCAAACACAATAGAATATACAGAAAAATATGTCCTGCCACATGGAATTTACAAAACACAAAATAATATTACAATTAAGAAACCATTCATAAAAATTCACACATACATTAATAAACATCTTAACTACAATATATTTATTTAACTGGCATGGATGGCCAATATAACTAAATATATTAAAACAGATTTCACAGAGAACAGTGAAAACCAAGCCAAGCAACCCGAAATAATCTGACTGGTTCAAAATAAAAAATAGTTGAAATTATACCCAGTGTAATTACCAGAAAGCCTTAGAGTCATGTAGATGGCAAATAGAAGAAATCCCTAAGAGTATTACTATCCCACAACCCATGTCCCCATACCACACTGACAGATGCTTTCAGAAATGTGTGCCATTATGCTCTTGTTGGGAGAATCACAGCACTGTGGTAATCATATCTTTTCATGAAGGTGCTTTAATAACTCCATCTTCCTCAGTGCGTAATGAATAAATGCACTTCTTACAGGTATGGCAATTACCGGACCAGAGAAAGTGAAATCGGTAGCGTGCCCCCAGGATAGTATATCATTTCATGTATTTACAGCTGAGAAATTGATTTTAGCAACTACTGGCAAAAAAAATAAAATATTAAAGGGAACACATTTTTGAGTATACATAAATTTGTAACTAGTTCTTTCTAGGAATCAGAGTAAAAGACAAGATGGAAATGTAAAGTTCAGATGTCAAAGTCATCCTACCATCCCTGTTTTTAATGCATCTAAACCTGAAGTGTGAGGTGAAAGTGAAACTTTTTAACGAAATACTGATGATTTCTGATGATTTCGATATCAATGATGTCAGCGAGGATGGAGCTAGTTGCTACACGTTTTACTCCGGTGAATATTTGTCAGGTTGGGTTTATTTCTGAAAGTCAAAAACCCTGTTAAACATTGAACTGCTATTGCATTGTCATGCTGTATGGGGTAAGTTACAATGAAACCTGCCATTAAATAACATACCGAAGGCTTTTTCAGTTAACAGTTATGAAAAGCACAATTCATGAAACAGGAAAAAGTGAGAAGGTATAACATACAACAATATCAAATTCACTACTACTGAGACATAAGACTTGTGACAACAACCCAGAGCCTCACTCACCTTTGTCCTGTTGCAGATACATAAAAAAGATAAAGAACTGAAATGCAGGAATATATATGGTGGCCATAAAATATATACTGTATACAAACACTGCTTCTTTCTGATATTATCTTTTCGGTAACGTTTTAGATTACAGCCCGCACTGTACCGCGTAATTAAACAGAATTTACAGCGTTCCTATTTGTAACTATACACTGTAAAAAAAAATCCGTAAAATTTACGGTAAAAAACCGGCAGCTATGATTATGATGTTATATTAAAATATTATATCCTGGGAGCAGCTGGAAACATAATCTAATCTAGTTTTCCACTGTACTGCACCTCGACAGTACAATGCTGCTGACGTGACTCGCTGCTGAGATGACCGTATGAAATACCCTTTCATCAGGTACATTTTCATATGGAAATTTCCAAACCAAATTATAGCAGAAACTCAATCATTTCCCCATAGTTTCAGCTGTGTTGTTCAGTAATCTCCATGATCCCACATAAAGAAACACTAGTAAATACTATAGCATATATTCTTAAGTAAACTGTGGTAAAAATTGTTGTAATAATACAATAAGTTGCCAGTACGTAGTGTAAAAATATACTGCATCATATATTTTGTGTTATTAAAATAAGGCAAC